GCCCCCCAGACCCCTCGGCTTAGAGACACAATACTTGGTGATTCACGCATTTTGCCTGAAAACTCCCTTCAAAGGGCTGATGGGGGCAAGAAAACTTAATTCAACAGCGGCACATTTTTCTCGGACAGAAGTGAATGGTTCCCTTCCCCTGCTCCATCTGTGGAGTAAGGAAAGGATCCCAGCTCTTGTCCTGCAGAAGCCCTCTGGACACCTCGGAAGGAGGCATCTCCCACCATCTCCCCTACGCACAGGCAGAACACAAGAACCTCTCGGACACATCAGTGAAGTTTCTTCAACTGAACAACATGTCAACTCCTCCTGTGCTGGTTGTGTCCCCTCGAGAGCGCCTGTGGTCTGTACCTTCTGATGCTGACAGTGTGGCTTGCTCCCCACAATTAGTATATTAATTGGCATCTTCAAAACCACCTGTAACTACTGTCAGGAATGAGAACAGGATTCAGATTTCTATTTTCCACGAGCCCTGATGGTACTCAGTACCCATAAGTACAGCCAACCCTGCCTACGTCTCGAGCAGTCACTCCATGGTGTGCATTTGGATTTATCCTGTAGATAAGCGAAAAACCCAAATCCACTTCTTCCAGAGGCTGGCCGCAGTCTGCCCAGCTGCAAGGCACCCGAGGAACTGCCGACCCAATGGCCCTGTAAGCCTGCCTGGCACAAGAGGACCTCAAATCCCCCATTAGATGCCCCTCAAAGAAACCTGCATGGCTGAACAGCTCAAGCACGGGGAGTTTTGCCAAAGAAAGCATTTCCTTAGTGGATCCACTGGATTCTTACTGTAACTCCAAAGACGGGATCTGACACGCTACTGGCAAATGCTACCTAAATATTGTAAGGAAGTACTGAGTATCATCCTTTCGAACCCTATTTAGAATTTTCCTGTCCAGAAATAACCTAATATGGCAATTAAGTGTTTCTGAACATGAGAAAGACCCTCTGAACTCAATAGCAAATGGTGATATAGGAACCTAGCATTGTTTTACAAGGTTAAGGCTAGGAGGTTGTCCCTGCATGACTGCTAGGGGTTGTGAGTTGGGAAGACAGGAAGCACTTGATGCAGGGTGGTGGTGGTGGCAGGTTGGAAAATGACAGTTTTTGCTCCTGGTGAGCAGCAGAAGGACTAAATGTCTGCAAGAGAGACCTGATGTGCTTTGGGGGAGCAGCAGCATGACCGCATGCCAGGAAATGTGCTCTAAGGGATAAATTAACACTGATCAAGATGCTCCTAAAGTTTCCTCATACTACTGTGCTCTCTCCATCTCCCACACCTGTCATCTATGCAGTAGGTATGAAATGCTAAATTCATTTTCATCTGGAGATAAAAATTTTCATTTACAATTCCCAAATGTGGAAAAGCTGGTGGATGCATCTCTTCAGACAAACATAGTGCTGGGGGACATTAGGGAGAATAAATCTGAAGTTCAGATAGTGAAAACTGACATTTTTGTCCAACTCTTGGAATGATCGCTAATGGCAAACCAATTCTTACAGCTTTAGATTCAGATCAGCTCTGGGGAAGTTCATTTACAATGAATCCACTCCCCTCTCCCTCCGTTTTGTGCAACATCACCCCTTATTTATGGGAGAAGGATCCAAACCTCTAAGGAAAGTAACTGAAAGGACATCACTTGAAATCAAGAAGATTTGCAGTATTTCTTTCTGGCCAAAACTTTTTAGTCTGGACACAAGCTATCCACTTGCTACCACCAATAAATATTTTCTGCAAGTAGAGGTTAAATAATCCAGCTATTCTAAAAGGGAGTCCAAACTCTGGAACATGAGCCTGAAATGCATGCCTACGTTCATGGAAAACACACATGCATGAGAAACATCGAGAACCTGTTCTGCAAGAGCAGCAGCTTACAGTTTAACTGCTTTGGGAAAGATTTCTTAAGCCTATGTTAAGTCCCCAAAACAACCCATTTCATTAACAATTGCTGCAAATCACATGGATTTGCTACACATTATTCCTTTAATCTCTATGGAAACTGATTTTATTCTGTTGAATTTAGGTGACTAAGTATCTTCAAAAATCTGACTCAAAAATGCAAGTGGGCACCTTGTAGGATTTTGCTCAGTGTCTAGGTGCTTAAATTCCCATTGAAATTTAGGCAACTAGCTGCTTTTTCCAAATCCCATGAAAACATCTATCGGCATCACTACGAACAACAATACTTTTGAAGAATCTGGTACTTTGACCTTCTGCACTCAAGTAACAGAGAAACAAAATGTTTTCCTTTTTGTTCTGTTCTGATCTGTTCTAAATTTATAGACCTACATTTATAGTTGTTTACAGTCACTGATTTTCCGTCCTTAAAGTTTTTTTAATAGATAGGAAGAGTTGATAGTGGCAATTCTTTAACTCTTAAAGCTGAAAGCACAGCCTCTTCATTTTAATGAAGGCTTTAGGACAAAGAATATATGTTTCAGTTCAGTCTTGATGAAAATAAATCCATCTACAGCTCACCAAAATTCCCATAGGCTACCACAACGCTAGCTTTAGTAGCTATCTGCACAAACTGTACCCTAGTTTAAAATGGTTTCTGCTCCTGTATGATGGCATGCTTGTGATGTTTGGCTGCAGGCAGAGTGTTCTGGGAAATGCAAATGCTTTCTCCAATCGGCACCTTTTTCACTTCTCTTCATTACCAAAAAAAAAAATGGAGCCATTTCAGCAAGAATGTACTCTATTGCAACACACATTTTGAAGCGATTCTGCAATGATAAGAAGCTGTCCATGCTCAAAAGCTCTGTTCCCTACTTACAGCATTCCCTGTGCTAGCTGGTTAATTTGTACCTACCAAGCTCTCCCTTCAGTAGACAGGAGACTGTACACTTTGTTTTTATGTTGGTCACTGATGGGATTTTGTGGACTAACATTAATGCTGGTAAATATCAATTCCAATAAAGGAACACAGAGGGAGAGTATCTACACTTCCAATGATTACGGTACTCTTAAGAATAATATTAATGAACAAAGTGTGAAGATTCACATTCATGAGTGCTTTAAAAATGCAAAAAATCCAAGAACACTTGCACATTACATTTGGCACAGTGTGAGCCTAAAGCGTGCGTAAAGTGTATGGTAGAGTTGTCTGACTTTGAACACCTATTCTGAACAATCATCTATTAAAAATCATAAATTTGAGTATAAAAACTAGGCTATAAATTGTTACACTGTAAATGCAATACTTTGAAAAAAAAAATGCCACGTGGAAAACATTTCCAGAAGTTTCAAGTTTGCATTTAATATAAAAAAAAAAGAGAAATAGCAAACTAGTTGTACAGTGACATTTCCTACGGTGGAATGTCTTGCAGGCCATATGTGACTTGATATGGCACCTTAAAAAGAAAAGCAATCACTGGTTTACTACAAATTCTATGAAGCAATCAGTTTATGGTTTCTATATTTCAAATCTCCTCATGTACTTTGCTCAGAAGGCATTTGAGCTGGCAAGTATATTTCATAAGGAAAGAAGTAAAGGCACTCACGTTTCCAAACATAAAACTCAACCTACTCTAAGAGTCTTTGCAGTTCTGAAGGGAAACTAAGCTGTCATATTAGTTACCCACATCTAGTTTCACCTCCTTTCCAGAGCTCAACTGTGCTTCTTGAAAACTACTTGACTTTTCAAAGCAAAGGAATTTAAAGTAGTACTGTACAGTTCCCATCACTTGAAAAAAGCAAAAGTATTGCATGAAAACTTCTCTCAGCAGAACTGTTTTATGCACAAAAGCCATTAGGTATGGCCACTACAGTCACAAGAGGGAGGAAAAAAGATCATAACAACTTAGAAAGTTAATCTAAGTTCATATATATGAGCATCTCAACACTTCTGAGAAATCTTTGCAGTTAGCTATACAAGATAAATAAATCTGATGTTTTACCCAATGCTCTGTCTAGAAGAGAGTCCAATGCTCTCTATTGGGTAGTTTTCTAAATAGCCAACGTTTCATTAAAAAAAAAAGAATTACTGATTTCTTCCTCAAAAGGTTTTCACATGCAGAGTCTGCAGTCTGAAAGTGCAGAAAAGTGTACAATCATTTAGCTTTCCAATCTGGAACAGATAGATAAAGCGAAAAAACCAACATGCGAAGTCACAGCAAGGTATCAGGAAAAGGGAAGAAAAAAGAAAACTAACTTTAGTAGCGTACTGGTCCATAATTTTGTCAATGAAAAGTGTTAAAATATGACTGCTAGTATTTTTTTAAACTATTCTGCAATCACCAATGGAAAAGAATCCTGTATCAACTTCTACAATCCAATCGAACATTAAAAATAAACCTATCCAGTTAGTTTTGAATGTATGCAACAGAAATAAAGGTCACCCTCCTCAAAGAAATATGAAAAGTCCAAACCAACAGACAAAAATTGAAGCAGTGACAACTTGCATCCTACCGGGTAAGTTTAAGCATCTCTTTAGGCACTTCACTGGTTCATTAAATGCAATACAAAATAAAGCTATAAATATCAACATTTTGTGCTCTTAAAAATTAGTCAAAAGCAACAGAAAACAGCACAAAAGTGTGACATTTTTGGCAGCTTATTTCTTCCCTTCCCCAATATTACCGGTTGTCCAAGAATGCTTTGTTTTGGGGATGCTTTGGCATCTCAGTATCAGGTTGTCTTAAGCCATAAAAGCTAAAATGAAACTGCTAGGCCTTAGACAATAAAGAAATTTGGTTTTGAAATTTCTTTATGGCTATATAAGAAGGACACTTTAGCAGTGGCATGATAGGGAAAAAAGCTTGCTTTCTTTTTAAATATTGCACTTTTCTTTTGTTCACTCACACTAATGCATAGAATCTTTTAAAACTTTGAATATTAAAATTTCATGCTATGAAGAAGTTATGGGAAATAAATTTCTATACATCCAATATGAAAGAACAGATATGCTAGCCTTCCTTTACTTTCCTTAGTTAAAACATTGAGAAAGAAGAGAGTGCAAAAAAACCCACAACCCTGTTTTTGGTCAGCCTGTGTATTAACTTTATAGGTGCCGACTAAATAAATTGCAACATGTGATGAGCATGGATATTGTAAGGACAACTGAGGGTGACTGTCAGTAAAACAAGATTATGCATGATTGAAACACAGTAAGTGTGGCTGAAATGGCAAATCGTGAGGCCTCTTCTCTTGGGAAGGGGCACGACAAAGCAGATGAATTTCGCACTTCAGTAGCATGCTGTAGGATTTATCATGATTAATTTCACATTAAAGTGTGCTCAATGTTTGCATCCACATCTTGCATCACCTTCAATTGCTGTAGTAAGATGGTGACTGGCGAGCAGTCTCCAGGAGACACAGAAGAATCCAGTGGGCAATTCAATGCAACGCAGCCCGCGCGTCTCTGTCACGAGTCACGACATGGTGGTACATTCTCAGGACAGGCAGAACCGATCTTCTGCTGGACTCCACTAATCTGAAAAATGATTGCTTGGAAAAAGAAGTCTCTAAGCACTTCACCCCGGTGCTTAAAGAACAAAGCGCTAAGATTGAATATAATAAAAACAGTTTCAGGATCCTGACCACTGCGCAGAAATCCAGCCGGAAACAATGCAGAGTAGTGCTCCTCAGTGTTACTTTTGTTATCATTAGTAATGTTAAGCATCAAGAAAATAAAACATGTCATTGCACATTACAGCCGTCAAGAAGCACGGCTAAACTTTGACACTAGAGAATTGAATAACCTGATGCTACATCACAAACAGCTTCTGGTGTGTATCTATTTCGAAAGGTCTTTACATACTCAGTAAAAACTCCTTTACTGCTGCCCAGCGAATGCTTCAGGTTAAGTGACGAGTTATGGCACGAAGGGCATACAGAAGTTCGGCTTGCATACGAGCTTCCATTAGAAGTAGATTGACATGAACCTGTTAAAAATTAAATCAGCCATTTAGTTCACCTCTGAATGCAACATCATGTATTCATTTAGACTAAAATTTCTAACCTTTAGTAAAGTACCGCTGCAAGAAACTATGTCCTTTCTCCCTGTACCCTGCTGCAGGACTCCAGTTCCTCCTGAGACAGCTGTGTAGCATGCCAATACTAGACAACATCCTAGGACTGCAAGGAACTAGCCTCAACCGCTGCTTTAAGCAATCTTCCATCTGAGAAGTCCCAATAAAACCATTTTTGTATCCTAATGGTATTAGTTCTTTATGAATTATATTTTGTTTTCTTTACTACCACCTGTGACCGCTATATAGGAGCACAGAATAAGGAACAGTTTACATGCCAGATAGGCTAGCAGGCACACAAGCACTGAACCCTTGTCAGGAAGCATTTAACTTGGATATCTGAAGACACGTTGACATTTTTATTGATGAAAAACACCATGAAGATTACATTTTTTATATATATATATATATATATATATGAGTTAAGGTCTGTTTTGATCCCCAAATCCCAAGTATTGGCATAGTTGGTCACTTCTGCATTCCCAAGTTTATCCACATTTCTTTTACAGTTGTCAGTTCAATTTTATGGAGAAGTCACTCAAAATAATAATAAAAAGAGAATCAGTATTTCCAGTACACTAAGTATTTTTGTAAAATTGATATCTAACACTCAATGAATTAATCTCATTTGTTTTTCTCTGGCTAAAACCAGTTCGTTTGACAGATACTGCCATTTTTAGGTGCTTCCATATTTTCATTTTTAAACAGCGTGGGGGTCTCTGTGAAGCCAATTTGGCTTTGAAATACGTACCTTCTCCGAGTGCTTGAACTGACGCCAGTAACTATCGTACATGCGCTTGGTAGTTCTCTCTGGGTAGCAGGTCACTGTCTTTATGTAAACCTTCAGGCTGCGTTCAAGTAACTGATTAACTTCTCCATAATCATAGTCATCATACCTAAATAACACAGGCAATCACTCTGTTGGATGTAAGTTTTAAAAAGCATGGTCTTTTGCAGCATTATGTTCTTAAGTTTGGGAATCGGAGCATTTATTATACACGCTAGAAAACCACCTGTTAACAGAGGATCTGAAAGGCTTAGGACTGGGATGTTGTCTTTTCTGAACAAAGGATACAGGCTGGCTTCAGAGAAGACATTTCTGTAATAATTTCCATCCTGATTCATAATCATTTTCTCCACTGGAAGCAAAAGTTATACTGATATGCCAGCAAAACCACTCTAACTTCCAGACTGAGGCACCATCTCCGCTTTAACACCCGGAGTCTAAAATCATGCTTTTCACATGGTTCATTTTTCATTCTGTTTACACAGTTTAAAATGCACTCCTAAGCCAGGGGATTTTCATCCATACCTGATTCCATACATACAGTGGACATAGTTAAATAAAGCTCTTCTTAGCGTAGTTGTATCAACATCTTCATGTGTTGCCATAGTGTTATACGTGAGGTTATATACCATCCGAAACTTCTCATCAAGGAGATGCCCAATATCAGAATAAAGCCTGTTTACAAGGGAAAAGCCATGATTTTCCCAAGTATAGTCCTGCAGGAAGAGAAGGAAATATATAAATGTACAAAAGAAGTGAAGTCCCTATCTGATCCTCTCTCTAGCTCAACAGTTTTTGTTGTCTGCTAGTTATAACTTTATTCTCTTCAAAAAACTTGCGTTTTGAATCCTTCATCCGTATCACCTGCTCTATTCCCCGGGGCTTCCTGGCAATGAATAGCATGTTGCAATACCCCACCTCCAGCTGGATATCATTAGCCTACAGGAAAAAAAAAACCCCAAGCTTCTCTTGAAGTGTTGAGGCAATTTTCCACTGTCTGCTGTGCCACTCTGACCAGTGTCATTCTACGTGGGATGGGCCTGTGAGTTTGAAAACTTGTTCCTCTTGGAGGCTTTGATGTTTAGCTCTGAGCAGAGATGGAG